CTACTTTCGCCCCTCCCGAATGCCGAGTGAATGTTGTGTTTTACTGTTTAATTTACTTTTGTTCACATCTCTTTTGTATTTGTCCTTCACTCCCCTTTGATTGTAAGCCGCCCTGAGTCCCCTCAGGGAAAAGGGCGGCCTATAAATGTGCAATAAATACAAATACAGAATACAAACACAACTGCCTAATATGTAATACAGAACAGGTTCAAATCCCAGTAAGGGTATGGCTATCTGATGAGAGCTAAATAGCTTGAAATAGATCTCGACTAGTCTCCCTTTATTTATTTATCAACACAAATGCAACACACACACACACACACACACACATACATACATACATACATATATTTAAATGTTTACATTTTCTTACATTTTTAAATTTCATTTATTAAGTTTATATGCCACCCACCTCATTGTTTTGAGTGACTCTAGGCCTCTAAATCACACATGCTATAAAGAACAAATATTGTGGGGAAAACCTAAAATAGTCTTATATAATCTATATCTGAGCAGAAATCCCCCTCCCCCCTTCCAGTTCATGAAAGAGTTGCAAGATACATACTCTGCAGATAAGACGTCTGGTACTGTGGTGGAGATTCTTCATGGTAAACCACACTCTGAACAATCCCATGAATGGGATTCAATAAATTTGGATCTTGGCATTGCGATAAGAGAGTATTTATCTTGAAGTCCAATAAATTGTGCCTAGATAGCAAAATATATGCAATGTGTGATCAGGTTATCTCCTTCAAGTTTTTACTGCAGCAAACAATTGGGTTTTCAAGGGTGTTTAATCCTTCAAGGTTTTTATATCTATATAGAAATGAGTATTGACATAGAAATGGTTGTGAAAGTCAATTATTCTTGCCAGGGAATTTCATTTCCAGTGCTACTCCATCAAACCTTTTAAGCACCATACCAAAGTACTATCACCAAAATTGTACGGTGCAGGTATAGGTAGATAAACCCAAATAATTGGTGTTCATCTTGAAAACCAGCTCTATTTTTTTAATCCAAGATCCCCACAATTATACTATAGTGTTCTTAGAAACTGCATGACAAAATTGGGTGGGATTTTGGAGCATCCCACAGATGTTGGGCTGGGGAACTCTGGGTGTTGAAGTCCACCCAAGGCTTAAAATGGCTAAAGTTGAGAAACACTGTTCTAAAGGCTGCTTCAGACATCACACAATTTAAATCTTGAGCAAGCTTGCAGGGACTTCTTTAATATTTATGTCCCACCAAATATATACATCACGTTGTTTCTTTCTGCCTGCATGATTTCAAGTGAATTACTCTAGAGCACACAGGGAGATGTTCAAAAATCACACCTCGCATATTGTTTTTTTGGCAAGGCAATTACTTCCTTTGAAAAACTCAACACTTACACAACAGGAAAGACCTTTGGGAAAACCACACTGGCTTCTGCTAAATATTCATACAGGATTCGCTGGTCAAACTCATCTGCTGTGTATTTTACCAACGTTGCCTGTCCCAAGACAAAAGTGGGAGAGGGAAAGAGAAGGAAGAAGAAACATCAGTTTACAATTTCTAATCAGCTGTTAGATTAAATCAACTATAGTTGCAGACAGCACACGGTCAAAAGGGGCAAGGCTTTGATCATAGACACAGAATATAGAGCTGGAAGAGAATTTGGAGGTCTTCTAGGCTAGCCCCGTTTAAGGCAGGAGACATTATTCCATCCTGGGCAAATAGTTGTCCAGTCTATTTTTGAAAACCTCCAGTGATGGAGCACCTACAAGCGATCCCACTGATTGTTTTCACTGTCAAGAAATTTCTCCTTATTTCTAGATTGGACCTCTCTTTCACAAGCTTCCACCCATTACTTCTTGTCCTGCCCTTCTGGTGCTTTGGAGAATAGATCGATCCCCTCCTCTATGTGACAGCCCCTTAACTATTAGGAGACAGGCAATCATGTCCTCCAAATCCTCCTCTTCAAGAGGCCAGACATATCTAGTTCCCTCAACCATTCACCGTATGCTTTAGCCTCCAGACCCTTTTATCATCTCTGTTGGTCTTCTCTGCACGCTTTCTAGAATAGGGGTGTCAAACGTGAGTTCACTGAGGGAGGCATCAGAGTTGTTTGACCTCGGGTGTCTGGGGTGAGCGTGGCCAGGATGGACATTGCTTGTGTTGGGGCATCTGTGGTGGCCAAGCACTCTGCCAGAGAGTTTGACACCCCTGTTCTAGAGCATCTTTTTTGTATTGAATATGTATGCCATCCTGACGTGTTTTGATCCTCAGCCTCTCGTTTTGTGCAGAAATGCTTGATCAGGATTTGTGTACTTTCCTTTTCACAAGTCCCCAAATTAAGGACTTTCTGGAACAGGTCTTCTTAGGAAAGGGCCCCCCTATCATTGCAGTTGTTATTTTGCAAGCAGTGTTTCCAGGAGGGATCGTCCCATGACCTGGATTGTATACTTACAAGGACAGTCAGCAGCAGAGCTTGGATTTTGGGATCAGTGAGGACTTCCTCATCTAGGAGGACGTTAGACTCGGACACAGATACTTTACGGAGATGGGGATGCTGTTGGGGTGATATCCTTTGTGTTTCTGCAGGAAGGAACCCAGGGGTTATAACCAGAATAGACAACAGCTCTTGTGTCCTAGGTAAGAGGCTGCCTCAATCACTATGAGACACACTGAAGTTTTGAATGAAAAAGCTGGGAAGACCAGTGAGGATTCAGGTCCAATCTTATCTCAACCATGGAACCTCTCTGTAGCTCAGTCATTGCCGTAACTAGACTGGCAAAAGGGCCATTTGTCTGCAAGGGTCTTTCACACAGTTTTACTTATTTGTTAAATTTATTTGTCACCTCTCTTGCCATGGAGCTCCTCTAGGCAGCTCACCACAAAAAGGAAGAAATATGCAAACAGGAGTAAGACAACAGAACAATAAAACAAACAATGACAACATCTCATAACATGCAAGTGTTATGCCTTTTCAGTAGTAGCTCTGACCCTTTGGAACGATCTCCCCGTGGAGATTCGTACCCTCACCACCCTCCAGACCTTCCG